ACCTGAAACCCTCGGGTATTTTCGGGTTTTACCCCCGGGGTTTTCGCATTTCTGCTTGCTGACCACTGAACGAGGTCGTCGCTCGCAGACTCACGTTATGGCTGAGCTGCAAGATGCACATACACAGAACCACGACACGTATCGCAAGCGTCTCAGGTCTCACATCTCTCACATCTCACAATAGCATGTCCCCATGAATGCTCTCGCGATTGTGGCAGATGAAGGCCACGTACAGCGTCAGTACGCCGGGCAAGAGGATGGGCGCGGCGCAATACTGATAAAAGATGGCGGCAGACATGGTGTGCTTGTTCTCGCCCGCGAGCTCGCACAGCACCACGATGTTGTTGGCCGTCGGCGTGCACGTCACGATCAGGCAGACGAGCCAGAACGGGTCGACGGCGACATAAGGCTGCACGAAGCGCGCGCCCGCCGTGGTGAGCCCGTAGGCGACGACGAGGCCGAGCAGCGGCATCGCCACCATCCGCGCGAGGGCGATGCCGACGGCGGTGGCGACGGGCAGCCCCTTGGCCTCGGGCCTGCGCGAGAGGGCCGCCCCGAGCAGGACGAGGTTGATGGGCACCTGCGGGGAGGCCCAGAGACGGCTCAGCGGCAGATCAGAGTCGCTTCAGAGCAGGGCGGGCGGCGGCGGCACCGCCGCCTCGCCGAGCTTGGAGGCCGAGATGAAGAGCCAGCCGAGCGGCGCCGTCTCGGGCGGCAGCATCAGCGTCTTTGCAAACAGCCCGACCCCGCCGCCCAAGCAGATGCCGAGGACGGACGGGATGAAGATGCGGCGCAGCAGCTTCGCGCCCCGACGCGCGACCGCCCACAACCTCGACCGCCACCCTCTCGACGTCCCTCTCCCAACCCCGCCGCTGCTCCAAGGCCCGTGCAGCGGCCGCACCGCCGCTCGCACGACATCGTGGACGGACCTGCGACGCGCGGGCAGGCGGGCTCAGCCTTCCCCTCGCCGCCACCGCCCCGCCCCTTCCCCCCCCCCACCGCCCCTCGCCGCCACCGCCCCTCGCCCCCACCGCCCCTCGCTGCCACCGCCCCTCGCCCCCACCGCCCCTCGCCGCCACCGCCCCTCGCCCCCACCGCCCCTCGCCGCCACCGCCCCGCCCCTTCCCCACCCCACCGCCCCTCGCTGCCACCGCCCCTCGCTGCCACCGCCCCTCGCCGCTACCGCCCCGCACCAGCTCCTGCGCGGCGCCCCTCTCCTCCGCGACGCCACCTCCTCCTCCGACTCGCCCGCGGGCAAAGCACCTGCCGGGCCAACAGGGACGGGCCGGTGAGGGGCAGGAGGGCGGCGGTGCGACCGCCGGCCTCCGCGACTCGCCGAAGGCGCGGAAGCAGTGCTCGCTCTCGCCCGCCTCGCGGGCCGGCGGCAGCTCGAGCAGCGCCGCGGTCGAGGCGGGCGGGGCGGCGCCGTGCCGGCCGGTGGCGAGGCCAGCGGCGAGGGAGTGGCGTGGAGCGAAGTGGGCGTAGGCCTCGATGAGAGCGACGGAGGAGAGCCACTGCAGCAGCGGGTAGGTGAGCAGCTGGAGGGAGAGGAAGAGGAGCGGCGAGGCGAGCTCCGCGAAGATGGAGCGCGAGAGCGTCTGCTGCAGCACCGACAGCAGGATGATTGGAATCGACGTTGTGTTGTAAAAGGCGCAGGCGGCCACCGTGCCGAGCCGAAAGTCGCTGGGCGGCCGCAGGACGACGAGCAGCAGGAGCCTACGGAGGCGCGCGGACGCGTCACGGAGCGCCGGGAGCGCCGCCGCCGCCGGGGGCGTGGCTGCCCGAGCAGCGTGCCGAGCAGGAGGTAGACGGCGGGAAGGAGCAGCAGCGGCCAGCCGTACGCGAGCAGCGAGGGGCTCACGCCGGGCACCACCGAGGTGAAGAGGAGGCACGGGATGGCCAGCTTGACCGAGAACTGGGACAGGCCCTTGGAGAGCCCGCGAGTCAGCACGCCGCGCCTCGCCATCCACAAGCCCGCGACGACAATTGCGCCGGCGCACGAGACGGCGCGCAGGCTGGCGATGAAGATGGCGAAGATGGCGGAGGTGTCGAGGCTGCCGGGGCAGTAGTAGGAGGTGACGGGCTGCGGCATCGGGGCGTTGCCGCCCGACAGCGGTGTGGGTGGAAGGAGAAAAACAAATGGACGGGGCTACACTCCTTCACGGCAGTAAACGGGAAGGTGTGTTGAGCAGGAGAGGGTGGGGCGGTAATGAGGGAAAAAGAAAGCACCGGCGCCTGCATTGAGCTTCGCACTGACTGCGCTGCCGACACATCGACACACACACCGCTCACACACACTGATCATTTGTATGTGGCTCGCGCTACACTCCTGCCTTGGCTTCACCGCCGCGCCGATGGCGCACGCATCGCGCCCCGCCGCCGCTGCCGTGCGGCTCGGCTCGCCTGCCCTCGCGATTGACCGCCGCGAGGCGATCGCGGGCGGCGCCGCGGCTCTCGCGGCAACCACGTCTGCGCTCTGTGGAGGGCCGCTCCCGACGTACGCTGCAGACATGAAGACCGTGGTGGTGGCCGGCGCGACGGGACAGACCGGCCGGCGCTGCCTGCAGCTGCTCACCAAGACTAGCGGCGTGACAGCGGTGGGAGGAGTGCGTGACCCGGCAAAGGCGGCGAAGAAGCTGTCCGAGTCCAAGATTGAGGTGCGCGGCGCGATGATCGAGAAGGGCGCCGCGATCGACGCGAGTGCGGTGAGCCTCGCGCCGCTCGACGTGGAGAAGGCGAGTGTCGACGACATGGCGGGCACGCTGAAGGGCGCAGACGGCTTGGTAATCGCCGTTGGATTCGTCCCCGGCAACCCCTTCAAGATGAACGACGCGGCGCACGCTGTGGACAACGTCGGGACGGTGAAGCTGATCGATGCGGCCAAGGTGGCGGGCGTGAAGAAGGTGGTGCTCGTCTCGTCGATCCTCACCGACGCCGGCGCGTGGGGGTGCGTGCCTCTGTCCTTATGCACCGCGGAACATTATCACAGCAGCGGCCGCACGACAGCACAGCAGCAGCACGCTGCACCGCTGCCTGAGCGAGCTCCGTGCCTCGCTGACAGCTCTGTGCCTGTCCGCAGGCAGCTCGACTCGGCCGGCTACAAGATCACCAACGCCTTTGGCAACGTGCTCGAGGAGAAGCTGGTGGCGGAGCAGTACCTGCGCAAGTCGGGCATGGACTGGACGATTGTGCGCCCGGGCGGGCTCAAGGCGGACCCGCCGACGGGCGCGCTCTTCGTCAGCGGCGAGAACACGCTCAACTCGGGCGAGATCTCGCGCGACCTCGTCGCCGACGTGAGCGTCGCCGCGCTCTTTGACAGCAAGGCGAGCAACAAGGTGGTTGAGATTGTCGAGAGCGACAAGGACGGCAATGCGAAGAATGGCGTCTTCAACGGGCTGAAGATGTGATGTGGGGAGGGGGCGGCGGTGTAGGGGCTTCGATAGGGCGAAGGCGCGGAGCTTGCTGTCCTCGAGTTACCGGCAACTATACCTTCGGAAATATCAAATAAACAATAAAACGGACACCTCGCTACTGTGAGATGCTGAGCCCTGGCTGTCACAGGCTGTCAGGTGCTGTCAGGTGATCTCGTCTGTCTAGTGGGGGATATGGTGATTTTTGAATGAACGCCTCGCGCAAAACCACCGCTACCATGCCACAGAAGACCCTTGTGGGCTATCCAGAACACCTAAGATCATGCCCTTGCTAGCTCTAAAGTGGGCCCGAGATATGCCAGCTAAACCCCGGATTTTTTCCGGCAGGCTCCCCGCCGCACTGTGATGAGCGTCGGCAGGACCCTTTGAAATCATGAATGGCGGCGTCTGGAGAGGTCCCCACGGCCGGGGGCGGTAAGTGGTGATAGGAGGGTGATAAACGACCATAACACCGGCCATCGGGACCCCTCCACCCCCCCAAACACAGTCCAAACCGGCCCCGGCGGCCGCCGTGCAGGAGGCCGCCGGGGCGCACCAAACGGCCCTTTACGACTGCCACGCGGGCCACCACGGCCCGTCCCGGTGGCACGGGTGCACCCGACCGACGCCCCCGGCCCGCCAGCTCCCGCTCTGGGAGACTTCACCTCCGCCAGAGAGCCGCAGCGCGCCCCCCTTTCGCGCACCGCGGCCGCACGCCCGAGAAGTGGCCGAAGGGCGACCTACGCGGCACTAAAATCACGACTAGAAGCGCCGCCCGCCAGCAGGCAGCTTGCCCGCCGCGCGCCGCGCGCCGCCACAGCCCCCGGCCGGCGCTGGAAGGGCTATGCCGGCCGGTAGCCGCCGTCAGCGGTTGGGGCGGCGGCGCCAGGACGCCCCGAGCGGAGCTGTGAAGAGCCTGGGGCGCGGGGTGGGGGTCGGGGAGGGCGACGTGGGCGATGGTGGTGGCGTGGGTGCGCGGGGCCGGCGTGTGGGGGCGCGGAGGTCGGTGGTGGTGTATGGGAGGTGGGGCGAGAATGCAGGAGGCCTTACTCACTTCGCTGCCGCTACTTACTGCGCTGCCGCTACTTTAGCTCCCGCATGCTCTCGCTCGATCTATCCGATTAATCCGATCCTCCGAAAAGTGCGCTTTTCGTCGAAAATTTGCTCGGTGCCGAAGTCAACAACCCTTCTCACCGCCTTCTTTTCCCTCGCTACTCCTCCTGCTCTGCCGCTCCTTCGCTTCTCGCAGCCTCCTCCTCCCTCGCCGCCTCTTCCCTCGCCGCGCCCTTCACCGCCTCGCCCTCGCACCTGTACTTGACCCAAGGAGAAGTCATTGCTCTGATTGCTTGATGGCTTGATTTGCGCGTGCGTGCGGGTATAAAACATCGTTCGTCGCCAGATGGATTGTGGCCAGCGCCCGCGGTTTAGAGAAATCCTTCGGCCCGCCGTGTGCCACTTTCTCGCCAGCCAGGGCTCCTTTCTCGCCGCCGCCGCCCTCACACCCGTCGCCGCTGCCTCCTCCGTCGCGCCACCCTGGCGTGCCGCCGCTCTCGCCCTCGCCTCCAGCCGCACCGCCGCCCTCGCCGCCGCCCTCGTCTCCACCCTCGCCGCCGCCGCCCTCGCCATCTCCGCCATCGTCACCACACCGCACGCCTCCGCAACCATCGCAGCCACCGACGCCGCCGCCGCCGCCCCCGCCCTCACCCCCGCCCTCGCCGCCTCCACCGTCGCTGCCGCCGTCGCCGCCTCCCTCGCCGCCGCCCTCGCCCCCACCGACACCACCTCCGTCTGCGTGTGCGGTGGCGGCGAGGACGCGGCGGCGCTGCTCTCCCTGCTGCTCTCCCGGCTTCCTTCTCCCGGAGGCGCCGCGCTCGAGGTTGCGGCGCTCTGCCACCTCCTCGAAGCCCGCGACCCCGCCCTCTTTGGCCGCGTAAGCGCCGCGCAGCAGCAGCTCAAGGCCGCCGCGAGCCTCGCGGCGCTGCAGTGGCTGTCCGCCTGCTGGGCGAGCGCTCTCCCCCTCTCGCCCCCCCGCACCCTCCCGGCCTCACCCCCCCCCGACCCGAGGGCCCGCCTCTCCTTCGCCTCGCACCTCGCGCCACACCTTCGCCTCGCACCCGACCCCGCCCCGACCGCCGCAGGCCGGGGTGGTGCCGCTCTCGCACCTCGTGAGCATGTGAGCGGTGCTGCTGGGATGCCGAGGCCCGGCCGCCGGCGACGCGCAGCAGCCTCCCGGCGCTCGCCTCGACGACGACGAGGACGACGACGAAGACGACGACGAGGACGAGGAGTCCTCGTCTTTGTCGGAGGGCGGCGGTGGCGGTGCAGTCGGCCGGGCGGCGCCCGCCGAGGCGGGGCTGCTGTCGCGGCTGGAGGCGGGGCTGCTGTCGCGGCTGTGGGGCGGCGCGGGCAGCTGGGCCGAGTGGGCGGGGTGGGAGGGGTGGGGCGGCGGCAAGGGAGATGCGCGCGAGGAGGACGAGAAGGAGAGGGAGGAGAGCGTCGCGCCGTGCGCCGCCGACTCGACCGGCACGCCCTGCGCCTCTCCGCTACCGCTGCTTCCGACCCTGCCCCTGACCCCAAGCCCCGACCCCAGGCAACCTGCGCCTCTCGCTGGCGCTGCTCGCGCGGGCCCGCCGCGAGGATCTCGCTGCGGCCGCCGCCGCGGACGCCGAGAGCGGGCACGGGTGCGGAGGGCAGGCCTACGCTGTGCTGCACCGCGCCGCGGCGGAGCTCGACGAGGAGGGCTGCCTCCTCCTCGTCGCGGACGCGCGCGCCATCCAGCTCAGCGAGGAGGAGGTGGCCGCCGCCCGCGCCGCCGCAGCCGCGGACTTGGACGCAGAGGCGGTGGCCGCCGCCGCTGCGCGGGCGCGGCGGTGCCCCTCGCCGCCGCCGGCACGTGCTGCGGTGGAGGCGCGCGCGGTGGGGCGCAACGAGCGGCGCAACGAGCGGCTCTTTGGACGCGCCGCGAGCGAGGCTGCAGCGGCGCCGGCGACGAGGGCGAGAGGCCGCTCCCGACGGCGCGCGGCAGCCTCCTCCGCCCCGGCGGCGCCGCAAGGGGCGGCACAAAACCTTCACCTGTACGGCACTTGGCGAGCCGGACTCTTCTGCTGACCAGCGTCGCTGTTACCTGCGCGGGTGCGGGGCCATGGAGGCCGCGCCCGAGTCTACAGTCTTCAGCTACCCCCGTCGTTTCCCCGTGTGTGTCGTTGTCGTGTCCTCTACGTGTGTCTCGGGAGACGAGAAGCGGAGAGAGTGACCGGCCCAGAGTGCCGCCCGGTCACCGGGTGGCGGGTGCGGAAGGCGCCACGCACCGTGGCGCATCTCGTGCCACTAGTCAAACGCTGATCGTCTAAGCCATGGTTTCAACGACGGCAATCTAAAAAACCGCGCTCTGTGCGAGGTCGATACACGATAGTTAGGGGCAAAGAGCGGCGAACACCGGTCAGGGTCACACCGCGCGCTCCGGCCTCGCCGCGCACCGCGGGCCAAAATAAAAGTGGCCAAAAAAAAGAGGCTAGAAGGCCCCGCTGGCCTGTCCGCACCTCCGCTGAGCTCCACCGCACCGCACCGCTTATCGCGCTCATTGCACATTGGACGACATGCACAGCAATTCCATCACGATCAAAAACACGGGGGAAAACGAGAGAGTGCCAGAGAGTGCCTCACCCTCAGAGAGCGAGCCGGAGAGCGACAAAGAGCAACGTACCCCGACTCTCACACACAAAAAACACATGCGCTCGTCTCGTCCGACCCAAAACCTCAGGAGCCAAGGCGCGCTCCGCCCCCGCCCTCTCTGGCTGGAGCTCTTCTATACGACGACGTCGTCCGGGAAGGACACGCCGCCGACCGCGCCGCCGCGAGAGGGCGTACCTAGATGTCACGGTCATCGCCGGGGGCAGGCGAGCGCGGCAGCGCGCGCGGCAGCGCTGCCGGCAGGCACGTGCCTAGGAGTTACGGTGCGCCGGCAGGCGCGGTTACCTCGGTTACCGAGATGTTACGGTCATCGCCGGGGGCAGGCGAGCGCGGCAGCGCGCGCGGCAGCGCTGCCGGCAGGCACGTGCCTAGGAGTTACGGTGCGCCGGCAGGCGCGGTTACCTCGGTTACCGAGATGTTACGGTCATCGCCGGGGGCAGGCGAGCGCGGCAGCGCGCGCGGCAGCGCTGCCGGCAGGCACGTGCCTAGGAGTTTACCTCGGTTACCGAGATGTCACGGTCATCGCCGGGGGCAGGCGAGCGCGGCAGCGCGCGCGGCAGCGCTGCCGGCAGGCACGTGCCTAGGAGTTACGGTGCGCCGGCAGGCGCGGTTACCTCGGTTACCGAGATGTCACGGTCATCGCCGGGGGCAGGCGAGCGCGGCAGCGCGCGCGGCAGCGCTGCCGGCAGGCACGTGCCTAGGAGTTACGGTGCGCCGGCAGGCGCGGTTACCTCGGTTACCGAGATGTCACGGTCATCGCCGGGGGCAGGCGAGCGCGGCAGCGCGCGCGGCAGCGCTGCCGGCAGGCACGTGCCTAGGAGTTACGGTGCGCCGGCAGGCGCTGTCATGGGTTACCAAGATGTGACGGTCATCGCCGGGGGCAGGCGAGCGCGGCAGCGCGCGCGGCAGCGCTGCCGGCAGGCACGTGCCTAGGAGTTACGGTGCGCCGGCAGGCGCTGTCATGGGTTACCAAGATGTGACGGTCATCGCCGGGGGCAGGCGAGCGCGGCAGCGCGCGCGGCAGCGCTGCCGGCAGGCACGTGCCTAGGAGTTACGGTGCGCCGGCAGGCGCTGTCATGGGTTACCAAGATGTGACGGTCATCGCCGGGGGCAGGCGAGCGCGGCAGCGCGCGCGGCAGCGCTGCCGGCAGGCACGTGCCTAGGAGTTACGGTGCGCCGGCAGGCGCGGTTACCTTGGTTACCGAGATGTTACGGTCATCGCCGGGGGCAGGCGAGCGCGGCAGCGCGCGCGGCAGCGGTGCCGGCAGGCATGTGCCTAGGAGTTACGGTGCGCCGGCAGGCGCGGTTACCTCGGTTACCGAGATGTTACGGTCATTGCCGGGGGCAGGCGAGCGCGGCAGCGCGCGCGGCAGCGCTGCCGGCAGGCACGTGCCTAGGAGTTACGGTTAGGGTTAGGGTTAGGGTTAGGGTTAGGGTTAGGGTTAGGGTTAGGGTTAGGGTTAGGGTTAGGGTTAGGGTTAGGGTTAGGGTTAGGGTTAGGGTTAGGGTTAGGGTTAGGGTTAGGGTTAGGGTTAGGGTTAGGGTTAGGGTTAGGGTTAGGGTTAGGGTTAGGGTTAGGGTTAGGGTTAGGGTTAGGGTTAGGGTTAGGGTTAGGGTTAGGGTTAGGGTTAGGGTTAGGGTTAGGGTTAGGGTTAGGGTTAGGGTTAGGGTTAGGGTTAGGGTTAGGGTTAGGGTTAGGGTTAGGGTTAGGGTTAGGGTTAGGGTTAGGGTTAGGGTTAGGGTTAGGGTTAGGGTTAGGGTTAGGGTTAGGGTTAGGGTTAGGGTTAGGGTTAGGGTTAGGGTTAGGGTTAGGGTTAGGGTTAGGGCCCCCGGTTAGGGTTAGGGTTAGGGTTAGGGTTAGGGTTAGGGTTAGGGTTAGGGTTAGGGTTAGGGTTAGGGTTAGGGTTAGGGTTAGGGTTAGGGTTAGGGTTAGGGTTAGGGTTAGGGTTAGGGTTAGGGTTAGGGTTAGGGTTAGGGTTAGGGTTAGGGTTAGGGTTAGGGTTAGGGTTAGGGTTAGGGTTAGGGTTAGGGTTAGGGTTAGGGTTAGGGTTAGGGTTAGGGTTAGGGTTAGGGTTAGGGTTAGGGTTAGGGTTAGGGTTAGGGTTAGGGTTAGGGTTAGGGTTAGGGTTAGGGTTAGGGTTAGGGTTAGGGTTAGGGTTAGGGTTAGGGTTAGGGTTAGGGTTAGGGTTAGGGTTAGGGTTAGGGTTAGGGTTAGGGTTAGGGTTAGGGTTAGGGTTAGGGTTAGGGTTAGGGTTAGGGTTAGGGTTAGGGTTAGGGTTAGGGTTAGGGTTAGGGTTAGGGTTAGGGTTAGGGTTAGGGTTAGGGTTAGGGTTAGGGTTAGGGTTAGGGTTAGGGTTAGGGTTAGGGTTAGGGTTAGGGTTAGGGTTAGGGTTAGGGTTAGGGTTAGGGTTAGGGGTTAGGGTTAGGGTTAGGGTTAGGGTTAGGTTAGGGTTAGGGTTGGGTTAGGGTTAGGGTTAGGGTTAGGGTTAGGGTTAGGGTTAGGGTTAGGGTTAGGGTTAGGGTTAGGGTTAGGGTTAGGGTTAGGGTTAGGGTTAGGGTTAGGGTTAGGGTTAGGGTTAGGGTTAGGGTTAGGGTTAGGGTTAGGGTTAGGGTTAGGGTTAGGGTTAGGGTTAGGGTTAGGGTTAGGGTTAGGGTTAGGGTTAGGGTTAGGGTTAGGGTTAGGGTTAGGGTTAGGGTTAGGGTTAGGGTTAGGGTTAGGGTTAGGGTTAGGGTTAGGGTTAGGGTTAGGGTTAGGGTTAGGGTTAGGGTTAGGGTTAGGGTTAGGGTTAGGGTTAGGGTTAGGGTTAGGGTTAGGGTTAGGGTTAGGGTTAGGGTTAGGGTTAGGGTTAGGGTTAGGGTTAGGGTTAGGGTTAGGGTTAGGGTTAGGGTTAGGGTTAGGGTTAGGGTTAGGGTTAGGGTTAGGGTTAGGGTTAGGGTTAGGGTTAGGGTTAGGGTTAGGGTTAGGGTTAGGGTTAGGGTTAGGGTTAGGGTTAGGGTTAGGGTTAGGGTTAGGGTTAGGGTTAGGGTTAGGGTTAGGGTTAGGGTTAGGGTTAGGGTTAGGGTTAGGGTTAGGGTTAGGGTTAGGGTTAGGGTTAGGGTTAGGGTTAGGGTTAGGGTTAGGGTTAGGGTTAGGGTTAGGGTTAGGGTTAGGGTTAGGGTTAGGGTTAGGGTTAGGGTTAGGGTTAGGGTTAGGGTTAGGGTTAGGGTTAGGGTTCCGGTTAGGGTTAGGGTTAGGGTTAGGGTTAGGGTTAGGGTTAGGGTTAGGGTTAGGGTTAGGGTTAGGGTTAGGGTTAGGGTTAGGGTTTGGGTTAGGGTTAGGGTTAGGGTTAGGGTTAGGGTTAGGGTTAGGGTTAGGGTTAGGGTTAGGGTTAGGGTTAGGGTTAGGGTTAGGGTTAGGGTTAGGGTTAGGGTTCGGGTTAGGGTTACGGGTAGGGTTAGGGTTAGGGTTAGGGTTAGGGTTAGGGTTTGGGGTTAGGGTTAGGGTTAGGGTTAGGGTTAGGGTTAGGGTTAGGGTTAGGGTTAGGGTTAGGGTTAGGGTTAGGGTTAGGGTTAGGGTTAGGGTTAGCCTTAGGGTTAGGGTTAGGGTTAGGGTTAGGGTTAGGGTTAGGGTTAGGGTTAGGGTTAGGGTTAGGGTTAGGGTTAGGGTTAGGGTTAGGGTTAGGGTTAGGGTTAGGGTTAGGGTTAGGGTTAGGGTTAGGGTTAGGGTTAGGGTTAGGGTTAGGGTTAGGGTTAGGGTTAGGGTTAGGGTTAGGGTTAGGGTTAGGGTTAGGGTTAGGGTTAGGGTTAGGGTTAGGGTTAGGGTTAGGGTTAGGGTTAGGGTTAGGGTTAGGGTTAGGGTTAGGGTTAGGGTTAGGGTTAGGGTTAGGGTTAGGGTTAGGGTTAGGGTTAGGGTTAGGG